TATATATATATATATATATATATATATATATATATCTTGTTAAGCACAAACAGAATGTGTCTAACCTCTAACGTCTTTTTACTATTCCTGTGTATATATGTCAAGAAAATGTATATGGGTACAGCCCACTAATTGTTTTCCCATAGGCGGCAATGTTTACGTTTCTTCACATAGCAAAGTCCCTAATTTTCGTTCAGCATTGAGTGACCCCTCAAATCAAAGCACATCAAGTTGTCTTTCCTTGGTTAAAATCTCGAGGTGGCATGTCAGATTCGTTTTCCGGCAAAATGCGTCTGTCTGCGTTAACCTCTGAAAGTGAAAGTAGGGGATTTCAAGACTTCTGACTGGTGTTATAATACATAAAATAATTCTGCTGATCTTCTTGATAAATTACATCTGCCAAGCTTTTTTGAAAGGGAACATACTCCTTATCAACAAGTATGAGGCTCAGTTTAATACCTTATCACATTTTTTTTAATTCAGGTCTGCAAATTAAGGAACTTGTAATTTTATCTGCACTACTTTCTTCTCCTACCGATTCTAAAAATAGTTAGAGGTATGTGCCCATATTTTGATACGATTAAACTGTAAATCGGTGGGAACGACACACGGTTAACCTATTAGCAATTCTGTATTCAATTAAATTAGGATAAAATCAATGATTCAACAATTTGTATGAAACTTGTCAGTCAAAATACAACACAATGATAGGTTCTATTTGAAAACAAGTTCATTATAACTCATAGAATTTTTGAAATACACTCTTTAAACGAGGTTGTTGAAATCCCTGTGACATCAACTTTTTTGTCAGTAGGCTACCTCAGTTTATAAATTTGATCGTACTCAGAACAATACTTACGTAACTGGTATTTGAAAGCTGGTAACAAATAAAATTCCTGTTTTGATCATTTATTTAGAAGACGTCATGAATAAAATTGGAGTTATTTATCTTGCGTTTCCTGGCACACAAAGGTAAAATTTCTCTTGACAAAGAGCAACTTTGTTTTATATTTGTTTAGTTTTCTGTAAGGAACCCCCCCCCCCCCCGAAACTTAAATTATCAAGTATTAAAGGTCAGGATATACCTGTTATAATTACTTGTCGTGTTTTGGCAGTAAATTATTTTTATAATAACATCCAAGCTATAAAAAAAAGCAACCACCGGTATAGCAAACACCGGTACAGCAATGACATTTGAATGCAATACATGTTTTCCAAAATATCATTTTATCGCAATGAATTCCTTAGTTAAAGTTCGTTCACTAATAAATACGTTTAAATCCTAATATTTCTAGAGGTGGTCAGGATTCTAGGGAAGTCCGTCCTGAATCTCGGTGACTCAATATATACGTAACACCTCTCAATTTTTTTTGTGTATGGCAGCTATATGCTATACTTCATTAATCAGTTAATGCTTGGAACTACAGTGCTGTATAACTATCAAATGACTTAACATAGTCAAGGGAATATATGTTAAGTAGAGTAATATTATTCTTGTGTAATATGTAATGCATTAATGTTTAAAGATCTTTCTTGATTTATCTAACGATTCATTCAATGCTCTTTTTATAATGTGGCAAGAAATAAATAGTAACTAAAACACGTATCTAGTCCAAACGCAGATATGAATGACTTCTGCAGGATACTTCTCATCAATAAATGATATCATTTTGGTTTTGCTTGATAGCGTTTACGTTAATTCTAAAGTTTTATTATTCAGCTTTTATTAACATTATCACGATTGTGCTTTTTAGATATATTTTGACTTCTGTTCATGTATAGTTTTTGAGGAGGATATTTTGAGTTATCAATGTTATACTACATTAATTATATAGAATTAAGTGAATTCACAAAGATACCAGACAGATTCTTATGTTTTTATTTACAGCTGGTAAAAGTTACATCATGGTTGATATGTTAAAGAATTTTTAAAAAATGAAGTTTTATTAAATTATTTTTGGACTCTAAATACGACAGATCAGTAAAGTTATTAATAGCAAAAAAACTCTGGAAAAAATGTATAAAAAAAAAAAAATAAATAAATAAGAATAATTAAAAAATATAGGAGAAGAGTGAAAGAGAAATATTTCGAAAGCCAAGTATGATTTAGATTGGGAAGTATAATAGTATTTTGTAAACAACATTTCACAATTCAGGTAAGTGTTAGTTATTTTCTAAGTAAGTATTTTCCCCAGAGAGATGGTAGAGGTATATGGTTTATAAACATTAAAACTATAAAAATCGATTAGTTTTGTGTTATTATTCATGTGAATCCTATCTCTAGCGATTAGATGTGATTGCTTTAAAATTCTACTTACCTCTGGCACTAGGATTTGCATTATGATGTATGAATTAATTATCAAGCCATTGTTTATTCCCTTTGATTTCTCATCATTTCTACAGTTTGAAACCATCTTGGTGGATCGTCCTATGTTCATCACCTTTTATCTCTTGCCTTTTACGATTTAATTCAACTTGTATTCCCGTAATTACTTCTCAAATGTCAATCCCATGTTTGTTATCAAAAAGAACATCTTTGATGTTTCACATTTTAAAATTTCAATATTGCAATGAATACAAATGGCTTAAAGCGTTTAATAAGCAAAATGTAAGGTCTCTTCTTGGGGGATATAAATTTGAAAGGAATTTAAATCAACGGTGTCCATATTTATGGTGTGTGTTATTAATGATAGCGTTTATTGATATCAGGGGTTTGTATGTCGTGCATAGAAAATGAGAAGCATAATTTTAGAAAAATAGAATTAATTTTAGGAAAATAGAATTTATCTATGAAAGAGTTTATAAGATAAAATATTAAGCTTAGATTTAAAAAAAAAAATTATTTTAAGTGTATCTATATTTGCTTTGGTATCTAACTGTAATATACCTAAGGGATTCGTGCAATATGAAAGTTTCTTACTATCATATTTATGATGATTTCTAATGTACCAAAAAGGGCTCAAATATGCATTTTATGACTAATTGTTCAGCATTAAATTCTCACGATAGAGAGCTAATTCAAAATACTCATGTCACACACGTTTCTATTAAATATCAAAATCGGTTGCATTCAAAATAAATTTTAAAATATTCGTCATACTTGGCTCCCGGATAAAAATCCCTACCTCACGCGCAGACTTGAATCGATCCATCTTTTATTTTAAAATGCAGGAATTACCAGAAATAATCACCATTAACTATTTTCCTAGTACAATTGAAGAGTATTATCATTTCAGTAGTAATACGGAATTTGATTTTATCGCCGTGGTTAGCGGACAATTTGCTCGTCTGCCGCCAACGTCATAGCACGCGCCACGTGCCGACACACTATTCTCAGCTCGTGTCAGCCATCTGTGTACCTGTTCGCTAGCCATCCGTGACAGACCGGTATCCTTTTCATCTACCTGTAATGAAATGTACACGAGCTTCGGAGATCTCGTTGGAGACAATTTTTCATATTTGATCAAATTAATCATTGAAGAAAACAATATCAGGCAAATTTAATCACAGAGAACAAGTCCAGTAACAGTCACTTTAATTTATTTTTTTGGAATTACGCATTTATGAGCGTCACCTTTGTTTTGCAGTAACTTTCTGAACATTAAACTGCAGGATTATTCTCAGGAGATGTACAGAAATGGTACTTATTTAAACGGCCGTCTTAGTATTGTGAACTCTTAAATGAAACATATATATATATATATATATATATATATATATATATATATATATATATATATATATATATATATATATATATATATATATATATATATATATTACAGTACTGTGATTTATCTATTGAATAAAAGTGATATTCTCTCACACTGTGAAAGGATACCAAAGTGATTTTCTGTCACAGTATGAAAGGATATCAAAGTAAGTAAAAAATAATTCTGGCCCGTCAGAAGGTAGAAATAGTAACTTAAGTGACTTGATAGAGTAAAACTTCCAATTTCTTCTCAAATATGTTACTAAAATCCATGTTAAAAGACTTTCAATCTCACAACTGCTAAGATATGATGCCTCAACTGCTCAACTATGACGTCAAAGTCTATGACACTGTGTTAAGAAAAGATAGAGGCAAAGGGAAAATCAAAGAAAATGTAATACACAGAAAATTCAATGTTTGTAGTTGGATATGGCACTTATTTCATTCGTGAGACAGGGTTTTTTCAAAATATTTTCACTTGTGCTTCGCACTCGTGAAAATATAAAAAAAATAATCCGGTCCCACTCGTGAAATAAATTCCGTATCCAACTACAAAACATTGAATATCCTTTATATATTCTCATTTGTTTCTTTTAATAATAAGGAAATAATGACACTATTGCATTCATCGGAATTATTTTTTAAAGGAAATGTACTGCATGCAACGACAAAAACAACAAAGACCCATTCTTTCAGTTTATTCATTAATATAAACAATGCAATATAACATCCACAACATATATATATGCAAATAGTACCACACAGAAATAACTCATAAAAGATGAGATAAAACAAGTTTTAGGTAATGGACTATTCGGGTTTTAATTTTATCTTAAACTTATGGAAAAAAAAGAATAAGTAGTAGGGACAGTCCTTTTGTAAATATCAGATTCTGAATGCATTTAGTCATTTTGATCACAGTATATAAAGGTATACATATATACATGCACCAGTTTATGATTTAAATCGAAGGTTAAGAAAGTCGAAAATTCATTTAGTGTGGAAAATAACAATAAATGGTTAAGCATACATGTATAAACTTTCAATATTATTGAAGCATACATTTTTCTTAAACAAAAAATACCATGTCTCCAGATTTCTTGTAATCTACAGACTTCCCACTCCGGGAAATCCTTTTTATTCACACGTTACCATTTTTATTGAAAGAAAAGCAATGCCAATATATATATATATATATATATATATATATATATATATATATATATATATATATATATATATATATATATATATATATATATATATGAATGTAATAAAACTAATTTGATAAAGGATTTCAGACATTGTACAATGGGACTCACGACAAAATATGGATATTTAAGAGTCCTTCTTAGATTCCACTGGATTTTCATTGTCCTTAAATTCACACTCGTCACATTTTCTTGATGCTAGCATTTTGCAAGAGAAATTATGCAGTGCATCATGGGCTTCTGAAAAGAAATGCCGGGTCGGGAATTAATTTCAAAATTATAACTGAAATAGATGTAATAAAGAAGAAGAAATAAATTTCAATTGATTGATGAGCAGAATGAGATGTGTTTAAAATCTTACCTTTTAATTTTTGTTGTAAGGAAAATCTTACTTGTCTCTCTTGTTCGAGTTCATTTGTCAAAGCCTCTATTTAATTAATAACAATGATTATTGACTTTTTTCTTTAAAAGAAAAATAAATTGTACTGAAATAAGTTCTAAAAATCTTTTCGATGTATACAAACTTAATAAGATTTAATTAATAATAGATGATTATTCAGAAATGCGTTTAAACATATGATTTGAAACCCTTGATAAAAACTGTACCTTTCAGAGCTTGGATTTCCTTCTCCATTTGCTTCCTTATTTCCATTTCAGCTTGAACTTCTCTTTGAATTTCCTCTGTAGAAAAGAATAATTGTTATATCATAGCAAACTACTGGCTGCTATATATAGTATACACTAATATATTATTCTATTAGAACGAATGCAAAATCTTACCTTTCGTCATTTCTGTGGCAGACGCTAGCAGGGATGGGGATTCTCTGTTGCAAGTTGCCAGCACTGAAATTAAAAAGAATAGTTAAAAAAAGATAATTAATATATTATTTGAATTTTTTAAATAAAATTTAAAATTAAACTTACTAGGATCTACGTTGATTGTACCAATGTGTTGGCTTTCTTCATTATTGTCCACTCCTTTCTGAAATCAAAAGAATAGTATACACATATAATACCACACACGATGAAGGATGCTGGCTTTTTTCATGAAATAAGAAAATATTTAGACCCCCAAGCAGGTACCATATTTTATGTATCTAACGAGGCACGAATTTTGATATTTGTTCCTTTTATTGTATAGAGAATGCATACAGACGACTTGAATCATTCATCAATAACCCACCACGCGACGCTTAACATCAGCGGCAATCAAAAGACACATTGTAAATAGGATCCTCAAATTTTTTGTGTGAATGTCATTAAATGCGACTGTTCATTGATATTGGACCTTCTTAAACGCGCGCAAATCTGTTATGCACCGGTTCTTAAATCAAAGAAGAAAATTAGTGCATTATGTATTAAAAACGACATGTGGCTGAATCACAACTAAGAGCAAAATTTCCTTCTCAGCTTTTGATGTTATTTTAAAGAACCTGAATTATTTACAGTTTTTCTTTTTAAAAAAATAAAGGTTTCTTTAACAGTGATAATGCGTTGAAAATTTATGAGAAAGGACGCCGCGTGACTTTGAACATTTTATCACTCTACTCAAATGCTTAATTTATGCTAAAATTTAATTGCTTTTCTGCATTGCTGATCACTAAAAATTCAATAAAAGTTCGGTTTTCAATATATGTAATGTAAAATTATAATTTGGTTTAAAATGAAATAATAGTAAAATAAATATACAAAAAATTACTTTCTAAAAAGGTCAAAGTTTGTTATAAATTATCTTGTTAAGAATTTTACCATTGTATCAGTTTTAGAGATGACCTCTCCCTGGGTGTTAATGTTCTTTAAGTTTAAAACGTTCTTTTCTTGGATATCTTCTTTCTTTTCCTCGTCCCCCAGCTTTTTGAGATTTGTTTCGTCCCCATTAGACTCGCCATTTACAAGGTCTGTGATATTAATTTCTTCACTCTCATCCTCCGAGTCATTTGAATCAGTTCTGGGTGAATTTACAGAGTCTTTCCGTGAATTCTGATTGACTAGTCGGAAAGCTGAGAATCTTTCATTCGAGTCATCGTAACGAGGACTATTTCCAGCCGACGATGACGACTCGTCGTCGTTGTAATTCTCTTCCTTTCTTCTAGTTATGTTGCCTTTGAAAGCCATCATCGACTCACGAAAATCATTTCGAAAACTCTGTACAAAAGGGTTGTTCCATAAAAGGTTGTAGGTTGGAAACATGCCGTGAAGAGCAGGCCAGGACGGCGGCCGAATGGGAGAGGCTTTGTTTACATCTGTCATACATTCCTTACCAAATGGTAGAGCAAACGTAGTGGATGGAGATTGGTTAACCGGTGAAAATTGAAAAGATTTCCTCTGTTGGGATAGGAGACTGAAGGGTGGATACGGGGATTGAAAAACTTCTTTTTGGATGTCTAAGTCAACAGAAGACAACTTTGGTTTTTTGTGTTGGTCGTCTCCACGCGCACTGTATGTTGGGCTAGACTCAGTAGAAAGAATTCTTTTCCTACTTCCGCCATTAAACATGGCCTTTACATCTTCCCATGCATGGACAATTCCTTCATCAGATGTACTATAAAGCTTCAAATGCCTCCTCCAAGAATTGAAATTAGCTGCATCTGGATGGCTATACTTTGCCTCTTGTGTGCGATGAAAGTGGAATATAAATTTATTGGGAGAAAAGTACATATTGCAAATTTTGCATTTAATGCATTTTGCCCTGGAGCTATTATAACGAGAAGGTTCAAAGTAGCCCTCGCATCCCCATCCACACTCATGTTTTACATGAAAAGAAAAGTTTTCGGGGAGCTTGGGAGGGAGGTTTTCTTCTAGAAAAGACTTGACTAATCTCTCAGCTTCTCGCATTGTAATCATTCCACAACGGCGGGAAGATATTGGCATTGCTCCTGCTCGCCTCAATATTTCGAGTTGTACTGGTGTACATTGGACACACGTTATACCGAGCGCGACCCTTCTATTGTGGATTTCGTTGTAACTGTACTGTTTCAGCAGAGTGTTGGAGATCTGTGCCAGACACAGCCTCTCTTTTCCGTCAATGTACAGGCTGACAATGGGGACTCCGTGAAGAAGAACGGTGGACACTTGATTTGGTCGTGCAACATATGATCCAGATGTAGCGTATGTTGGCTGTCTATCTGAGGATGGTGGTTTACTTGATTCTATGGGACTTGCAGTTGTTAGATCTTTTGGAACATCGGTAATTAAAGGTGAGGACTCAACAAAAGATTTACTACTATCGTTCTGAAAATCAAAAGAAAAATAATTCAATATTTCATTTGTAGATGCAGAAATTATATAAATAAAAAATAAATAAGAATTCACATCCATTTTAGGAAATATTTTTTAAAGAACTTTAATTATAAACCCAGTGAAAATAATACAAGTATTACTTAATAAAATTGTTTTTGAAATAAAAAGTCTTTTTATTATTTATATTTTGTTAATTTTATTTCTTTATTTTCTTATTTATCTATTTTGTGAAATTCTTAATACTTTAAAATTACATACAGTCATTTAAATGATTAACAAAAAGTATTATTATTAGGTTTTGAAATAACTATTTGCAAGTAAGGAAAGACTTTAAAGTTTCTTATTGAATAAAAATCGGATTCATTGAAGACTTTCTCTATTTTTTTTTAAAAAAAAAACAAAATTGTAAGAAAAGAAATTCAAATTAATTGCTATGGATTTTTTATATCAATATTTAACAGCAAAAATGCCTAAGTAAAAACAAATAATTTTTCTATGACTTACCAACATTTTACTTGTTTACAATTTTACTATCCAAAAAGTATCACTCATTGCCAGATAAGATATTTACATAAAAGTCTATGGAGAATTTCACAGTTATTGTAGGTCGACACCTTACACTTATTTAGAAGTCACGGCAATAGACAAAAGTGGGAACATTTATATCACTCCTTCAGAGTGAAATCAATAAAGAGACAGGCTTAATTTAACCAAGCATATGGCAAACGCTGTTGTTGTCAATTATAATAACCCACTAGATCATTGTAATATTCAATGAACAATCCATCGACCGTTAGAGGTAAAGGGGCGGGGCGTGGGCGGGTACTTCAGATTCATTGGCTACGAAAATCTATCATCTGTTTCTCTGAAGACAAATTTAAATTAACGGTTGCAATAAATGATTGCAACACGCAATGAAGTTTCTTCTTCCTTTTCCTTATTTAAATTGCATTTTTGAATAAAATCAAATAAAGAAAGGCGATATTATTTTCAGATATGTATGATGCTTTTTTAGGATAAAAAAGGGAATTATTTCATTCTGTGAATGGTTTTGGAATTCAATGGATTTGACCTAAGAAATTCACGGTAAATTCCTTTATTGATAGGAAAAATTCAAAGCAAATATTGAATGTTTTTGCTCTTCCTGTGGCGAAACAGATCAACAAAATATAAATGGACAAAATAAAAGTTGTGTAGTATACCTATTGAAAAACTTTAACACTGTATGTTGGATAAATAAATAATGGATTGAAAAAAACGTATTTCTAATGATAGTTGATGTGTAAAACAGAAATTCTCTTGACTACATTAAAATTTCATTTTAAATATGTGATCAGAAAATTGAGACTGGTGTCTGGGATGATTTTAATGTTGCTTATAAATTGGAATTGTTCAAATGCTTTACTATTATTATTTTTTGTAGTTGTAGAAGAATTTATGCTATTTGGTATTATTTGTCACTCGTAAAAGTAACAGATTTCTGATCTCCGGATTTCAAATTTTATCAGGAAGGTATTCTTAAAGCTCTAAAAGTTAATTTTTTACAGGTTTGTAAACCTTAAACTTGAATATATAAAAGTGTTTAGCGTAAAGTTAAAAAACACAGTTGATTCTCACAAGAAGTTTTTCTTTTATATATATATATATATATATATATATATATATATATATATATATATATATATATATATATATATATATATATATATATATATATATATATATATATATATATATATATATATATGAAAAACAACATATAGAATATATAATAGTCAGTCATCAAGAAAATGTCTTACTGATTATTTGAATTTTAGAAAGAAGTGCTAACAATTTTGCATTTTATGTGTTTGGCAGTGTAACCTAATCGCATATTATACAAATATCAAATAAACTATTAAAAAATGACTTAAGGTTGCCCATCACTCAGGTTCTATTAATCAGTGATTATGTCACTTACGCAATTCAAATTTTGCCCAAATAAAGAATATTTATCGTCGCAGTTTTCTCTTTTAGAAAGATTATAAGAAAAGTCATATTTTGCAGGATCAATCACATTTTTTATGAATGTAAAAAAGGCAAACCATTGAAGCGATTTCTTCTTGAAGTCTTTCAACAAGTAGCTCTCAAGATACAGACTAAGTGAAAGTTATCCATGAATTTGAAAAAGATCAGTGTTTTTGGTAAAATGCTTCAAAGGTTGGTACCTTGAAAAAAGTATTTTTATACAATCGAATGAATTAAAAAAATTAATCAGACACACTTTGATATCAAATTAGTCTATTAGACACATTTGGAGATAATATAATTTATTTTGCAACTTTTTGTGTTTGTCGCTCATTTCTCCAAGGAGAAAATTTTAATTGCTTTTCTTTTATTTCGCCTAAAGGATTGAAAAATGTCTCAAATCATATTAATAAGCAAAAACTGTAGATCAAGAAGAAGATTTTAACATAATGTATATAAATTTGAACTATATTCGGTAAAGCCATATTTCTGTCCCCATAATGGTGAAATATCTCTTCACAACTATAGTATTGTATAAAAAAAAATCTGAATTAACAAAATATGTAATAAATTGGAAACAAATACATGTAATTGGCATCTTTGTCTATATGACGTCATAAACTATTTGGATTTTACCGATATTTCTAAGAGAGAGAAGGAAAGGAGTGGGGGGGGGGGGGGTAAATGAACAGTTTGTCCAATTATGACTATAATTTCAACAGTGCGTAAACTTGCAAATGTCTAGTTTAGAAAAATAATTAAAGATTTTATTTCGGGGGCAGAAATTGGCCGTTTTAGAATATAGTCTGTTTCAAGAGTTATCAGTTGTTTCTGAGGCACCACTCAAATATTCTTTTGAAATATCAAACATTTGTAGTAAATAACTATTTATAAATCCACTTTATTGGCACAAGTAGATAGCTTGCTGACATACAAAATCCTAAGATTTAGAAATGACTGATCTCAGATAAATCTATACTATTTTGGTTTAATAGAACAGATTTCAAGTTATTATTTTGAATTTGTCATTTGTAATGATTCTGTTCATTGTAGTTTCTTAATCCTAGTACAAAATGTCAAAATTCATTTTTTTAATTTTCCTAAATCAACCCTTCTCTTCTTCTTTGTTCATTATTCCTCTTTAAAATATATGCTTCAACTATTATTTTGATTCCAAATCATTAAAAAGCCGAAAGAATTAATCAATATCATATCTTTCATTAGCAATCATTTCTATTATTTTAAATAATTTATTTTTTTAGGCAGAATTCAAAGTCTCTCGAGGATGTCATGATGGAGACTTTTTTCCAGGAATTTGAAATCAAAGATCAGTGCAAATATTTGATTTAAAAATAGAAAAATAGCCAAAGATGTCCAAAATGGAATGAATTCAAAGCTAAATGGTTATTTGATATTTTGACTGTTGATATCCGATTACTTTTATGGTTTCTATAAAGTTAAATCATGTTTGATAACTTATTCTATGTTCTCTGAAAGTTTTGAACTTTTCAATTCAGTTTTTTACTTGCCTTTGCTAATCTTTCATTATTTATTTTTGCAAACAAAAAGTAGATATAGATATGTTAAAAGAAAGTCCAGAGTTCTTTTTGAGATAGATATGCAATATCTCTAAAGAAGTGTAATGTTGAAAGTGTCTATTAATTCTTTAGAAAACCATTTCCAGTGTTTTTACCATTCATAAATTGTACTTAAGGGGATGAAGGACACATGGTCACATGACTCTGTTTAACTACGTCATAGTCTCCGTTTATATAAGTGCAAAACTTGTATAGCATCAGTTCTTCTTTAATTTTTTGACAATTTTTTAACTTTAATTACCATCTTATATAAAAAAAAAAATAAAAAGTTTTAACATTCTTGTAAACATTAATAAATTATGAAAAAGATTGATCCACTCCTCTGTTTCCCTAAACTGCGCGTCCAACAAGTCGGTGACGTCATACACGATCTGTTAGTACAGCAAGATCATACTCGGTGAACACAGGGGCGGTATTATTATGCAAAAACAGGTCATAATGAGTATATGATGAAATATTTTGAGAAACGGGGAACACAAAAATTATTTTTGCTTGGCTGATGACGGAAATCTTATGTAGGTATATCTTATTTCGCTTATATAGCCTGCGTGTGACGTCATAGTTGATTTTTCCCGTACTCGAGAAATGTAACATGACCCGTTTTTGTCATGCTTATGTCCTCTTTAACGATGTCCTGTGAAATAATGAGGTCAGCTTCATCATTCGAAATTTTCACAGTTAATCAATAATTTGAAGGATTTGCTTTTCAACATAAATTTAAAAATATTGAATGATAGAAATTTGTAAATTACGTTTTTTTATTGTTTAAGTTGTCTTAAAAAGTGCGTAATTTTCCCTATCCAGATGCAGTGTGATAGACAAGACTTGCTTTTTCGAATTTTAAATCCTAGTTATACTCCGAAATATTTTAAAAGATGCATGTCCACTTTGATAATTTTTATATATGCTTTAAAAATTCCATTATGGACAGAGTATTGAGCCCGGAAACATGGAGAATTAAAACTCCACTTAGATACGGTAGGGCATAGTATTTGTCAATCAATATCTCCAGAATAAGGTAAGAAACCTAATGATATAACTACTTTAAGACATGTGGGACATACTTAATTAGAAATATACAAAATATGAAAAAAATTGAATGACAAGTATTTTTTCAGCCCAAGGTCCTTCTCCTCCTTAAAACATTGTTCAAAGATTCTTTTGATCTTCACTTGAGAAAATCATACATCGTTCAGAGTCATAAACTAAGATTACTGGCATGTAGCAGTATTGACAGCTACCACACACACACACACACACACACACACACACACACACACACATCTATTCACAAGTTTAAAACTAACAGCCGTTCAAAGTTTATTCACATGCTGAATTCCAAGTTGTTAGCATTTGCATTTTTTTTTTTTAAATTAAAGTATGATTTTATTTCAATTTAAATTTCACTAAACTTCGTTTGGTTTCTTTTGAGTTAATCATTTTAAAGCAATACGTATTAAAACCGCCATTTGCACTTGAACAATTTCACACAAATTATTTATAACATTTTTTTTTAAATCGAGACATGCTAAAGAAGTTTTTTTTTAATTAAATTGCAAAACTGGTTCTAAAATCCAAGTTTTTAATTTCAATCATATAATATATTCTTATTTAAATCAGAGTCTTATTTAAAATCAAAGTACATCATTTACATACTATTTCGGAATACATCGTGAAAGTTATTCATAATATCAATGACACCTGCTTCGCCTGAAGCGAGCTAATGACATCTATTGACAGTCTTAATTTTAACACAATACTTAATTAATGATTCTAAATATTTATCCTTTCGAAGAAAATGTAAACTTCGTTCAAACGTTTTATAAAATAATTTTCACGCCCTAAATTTTACAGCATAAAAATATTTTAGAAGCCAATGTCTGATATAATGCAGTAGAAGTGTCCTTTGAAGATGTGGCAGAGGTTGCCTTTGTTTTGATTTATTTCTAATAGTATGTCAATTTGTATTCTCTACCTATACTATATAAGTAATCTATCGTCACTAGACGGTGAAATTATGCCAATAAATTTTAAGCATTGGTGATTATTTCCTTTTTCTGCAGATTAAATGTCACGACGAGCTGAAAAT